CAAAGAGACGTCAAAATGTTGCTTCAACGTTAACTTATAACACAAAGGTACTTACACTCACACAAATGACTGGTATAAAATCAGACCGTCTAAAGCCTCGGCTGTTTTTAATCATCAGGTGAATACAACGGATTAAGACACCAGGAACTCAGGAAAACAAACAGTTAACATGTGGAACTGGTTTCTAACTTTCTAAGAGTCATTTTGCTGTGATATTATCTGTTCCTCTAATCATTTCCTGTATTTCCTGTAAAGACGGACTTAATGTCTTTCAGCTTTCATGAGGTCATGGTGGACAGGGGTTAAAATAGTGTTTATTTGTGGTTTTTGCATCATGTCTATTGTTTCAAGGAATAAGTTTAAGGTTTTTTTTTTCCATAGGTAAAAGAAACTGAGCAAAATAAATCAGAAACGCTGACTTTTTTCAATGCTATTGGGACTTATCTTACGACTTTTTGCCGATCTGTTTGTTTAGATCGAAGAGATCTTGTGAGGAGGGAGTAAAACTGATTGTGGGTATAGATATTTCTATGCAGCAGCACTGAGCAAGTCTATTTTTACAATCCTTTACTTGCCTGTCTGCGGCGTGCCCTGCGTCCTGGTCACGAGGAAGCTGTCTGTGAGCGTCTGGGCCTGCAAACACAATATTTATATTACATTTTATGACTTTCAATACTTCAAAAGACAGAAAAAAAGACTTTGTTTCGGGCATGCTTCAGATTTTTGTGTTCATTCAGTTTCAATCTATCTACAGAATATTTCCTTTACAAATTGTCCAGCATGTTTTGGCCAATAAACGTCAGAAAAATTGTGAAAAACGCCCATCTTTATCTTACCAAACCTCAAATATATTTCGTTTACTACCAGGGGAAACTCACTCAGTCTTCATATGTATTTGCCTTTTGAGAGTCTGGAATTAATCAGTTTTGGATATTTTTCCTTCAGATGCTGTAAACACATAATTATCTACTCATCTTTTTTGTGAACTAATCTTTTCATCTCTGAAAATAAGCAGATGCTTATTATCTTCTTACCCATGTCTCTGGTGCTCTGATGGGTTTGTGGGGGGATTTCTTTGGAAGGACTGCTCTCTTTCTCCTGAAGC